ATGTGAGGCGCTCTGGCAAAATGAGACAGAACTGGGCACAGACTATAGTGGAGAAAAATTGGGTGATTCTTTTTAATATTTACATTCATTGATGTTTGGGCAATTCCACATTTAACTAATGGGCCCAAAAGTGTGACATTTGAGAAGACCTTTCAGTTTTGATGATAAAACTGCAATCTTGGTCTCTCAATTTTTGATGTAAACATTGCAAGCTTCAAACAAATATCCTCACCTGCAAATGATATAACTGGTTTTGTATTTTAGAAAATATAGTGGACAGACATTTTAGATAAAGTCACAAAGTAAGCATAAAGTTTAATGATCCCCTAATGTTGACTTATTTAAGAAGATGTACCCTGGAGGAAACCTAGAAAACTCAGAGTCAGTGTGAAGAATTATTTGATATTTTATAATCAGGATTTATACGTACGAACAGACTGGACATTTGTCACAAAATGTCTGTCCCTGTTCATACGTAACCCTAATCACATCATAAATTTGAAGCCAGTGTGAAAACTGTTATATTTTTGCTTGATAACAATGTAAAATGGCTTAATATTGTCACTGGAAGTGCCTATTAGAAACTGAATTTGTCCTAAGCACCCTTTTCCTAGCAGTGTGTCTGTCCACGTTACATACATTGTACATGTACGTATCACACAGAAAAGATGCCTGTTATTTTCTCAAATAAAACAAGGTATCATCTTTTGTCTTGTCTTGTCCTAGTCACTTTCAACTTAGCAAGGTAAAGGAAAAAACTAAAAAAACTCAAACTTTAAACGCCTTTTTTGGCAGTATTTTAATTTTTTAACATGTTTATAAAATGCAAACTTTAAACAGCCATAACTTGTCCACAGAATGTCCGATCGGAGTGCAACAAACAGTATTGACTGGACTATAAATTCTTTTTCCTAAAACCTGCTTACAGAACACTCATGTCGACCTCTGCCCAGTTCTGTCTCATTTTGTCCAGAATGCGTCATAAACATGCCTATGAGATAAGAAATATGACTCAAATGCTGTGAATTTACAGCTGTAAAAATATCTCACATTGCAGGAATTTTCATTCTTTCTCTTTTTCTTCAATTAGTATTAAATATTTGCCGCAGGAAAATAATACATTCCCTGTTTAATTGACTGTGAATTGAGCATCTGCAGTTTAAAAAAAAACTCAGAAAATGCGAAATTTCCAAATTTTAATGAGGTCAGTTACAAAAAGTGCTTAGACTTACAGATCAATTACATCGCTGCTTTTAATTTTATTGTGTTGACCAACAGTCATTGGCCCCTACAAAAAATTTTAAAAACCAGTGTAGGGCTTGCCTATCCTGAACTGGTACAAAATTCATAAACGTTCCTCCTCAGAAAAAAAATTATATTGTGTTGACTGATAGTTGACAGGTATAAGGTACCCTCCTGGTACTTTTCCACTCGCTACACTTTGACCCCCAGTCCCCCAGGAATGTATACATCGCACCTGCAAAATGTTTTCAGATACCAAATCATAACAAATTTTGATTTTAGAGCCAGCTTGGATTACTGTTGTGAGGTTGTATTTTTTTTGGGGGGGGGGGGGTTGGGATGACAAATGGAGTGACAAATAGGGTTACAAGAAGGTGACACTTGTTTGCAATCCAGATTGACCCCTTATTGTCCAACAAAAACTTTGAGTCCTTTTGTGCCTTTTGTTGCCTGTTTGTTAACTCTCTATGTGGCCTTATCGACTTACCAGGTTTTATGGAGGTAAACCCCTCTACATGGATCTTGAAAGTTTGTTGAGGACACCGTTTGTTCCCCTGCTGTGTTTTTCTTCACAATAGACATGAAATGATGAATATGCAATAGTTTGTGAATCGCTGAATCATGCACTTGTAGGCAGCCTGTAATTGTGGTCATGAATATTCAACAGCTTGTTACAGGGACTTGATTTATTGGCTATTTACAGTGTATTGTGAATATTCCTCGGGCTTTTAAATGCATTGTCCAGTTATTTTCATTGTTGTATTCCCCCTCCCCAGGGCATCATTGTTCAGTGTATAACTGTCTACAGCTGAACAAAAGATATGTTAGTACTTCACTGATCCACTTGAACATTGATTCCTTATCAGGCAATTCATTATTATGCCATCTTCATGTACATTGTACGTTGTCATTGTGATAGATCTTTTACTGTCAGGTTCCATCATTTAATTGTTAACAAGTAAACAGGCATTGTATGCCTAATGTCCTGTCAATTTCTGGGCCCTGCGACAAACACCTCGGCCCAGATGTAGAGCTCATGAATATGTATTGAGTTCCGTCCACCAATCACCGCTAAGTGGGTCATCCCAGCCCAGCCAAATATTGCATCATCACTGCCTTTGTATCCAGGCGCACAGCAACAAAGATCAGCTGATGTGCTGAGGCCACAATTCAACATGAATAATTCATGAGTTGGGCTGTGAGGTCATCTGTCAGCGTTTCTGCTGGCAACTAGCCAGGCTCAGCTGGCCTGATCCATCCACAGCTGGTTGTTTGTTACTCACAGTGTGGACTGTGAGTGCAGCACACATGTGTTTGTGGTTTCTGCAGGGGAAAGAGTGATGCAATACAGGGAGTGAATTGCTACAGGGAAGGATCCATCAAACAGGAACCAAATTAAGACGGGCGCTAAAGAGAGTAATGTTCAAGGTGTGCTCCAGTGGAGCCGGTACATGTGGTGTGTTTCTAGGGCAGAAGGATTCTAAACATTTCTGTGGTACTAGCTGCGCCAGCCAAGCCGAGGTCCGAACTATGGGCAAGCGGGTACGGGCAAACAGCCCTCTGAACGAGTTACAGAGATATTTTTTCGAGGATGGGCAAGTGAAGACGAGGCCGACACTGTGTATAAGGTGTTTGCAGGTAAGACGCTGCGCATTACAACAAGGGAGTTTTCAATTTTCATATATGACATTTAAAAACCGACAGATTTATTTCGAGTCACCTTGAAATTATTACAGACTCGTTTGCGTATTCTATTTTCAAAAGAGAAATTATCAACTGTAGTTAGCAACTGATTTACTTTTCCATTGAGCATCACTTAAAAAATATTCATGATTTCCTTTGTATTTTTTAGATGTTGTTTTGCACAGAAATTGTAATATATAGAACAGTATTAAATTTGTCATTTGTTACCGTTGAAATGAAGAAATAACTGTTACAGTGTACACGTGTAAGTTGTGATTGAAGTCAGATAGGATGATTTGATTTTCACGCATTTTGTCTGTTTTCAATTATTAATAACACCACTCAAAATCCAAAGAAGGATGTTCAAAACCTAAAGTTTCAGCTCAGTCGATATTACACTTTATGGAGAAAACAGAAAAATCATGCACAACTTTTGATCACGAATCAAGATTTTGTCAGAACTCTTTATATTTCCAAAGATCCGTCTAATCACCTAGATTTCTTGATTTCTTCTAAAAGACAACGAAGCAGACATAATATTTTCTCAGGCTGTTTAGTATCAGTGCAATCTTTAAATCCTAATAAATTCTTTGATAATGATTGCTACATTACTTTCGGGATAAATGCAAATGACCCTATGGCTTTGATTAAGTACCAAATGCATGTCAAAATAATTGTTGTAACAAAAAGTTTCTGCATTACATCTGGCAAACTTTTCAAAACAATACCTCCTGTTTTTGTGAACTTCCTGTGTTAACTGTCAAATCAGAAGCATTATACAGTCGATTCACGTTAATGCAAGCTGTATTAGTTAATTGGATCAACAGAATGTGCAAATCATTGAATACACATATGTCATGTTTCTGAGAAGAAAAAAACTGATGATTCGTTGATTATGTCATACATGATTTTGGGGGGGAAAAGGGGACAGGATGTACCAGGACAGAAAGGATATCCCCTGTCCTGTTTATTGAGTAACCTGACTCCAAATCCTGGTAATATAAAAAAAGTAACCACAAAATTGTCATCAGATTTTTCGACAATCAGAACGAATTGTATGCTTCAGTAATGGACATTTTATGGTTCAGTGGTTTCATTCTTTGGTTGTGGTTGTGCATGGTTGAGTTTGCGGACAGGATTTTGTGGCGTTTTGGTGTGTCCCACTTGCCTTGGAATATGGCATTCTCCAATTTTTATTTCCAGTCCGTTATTCTTGCTTTTATGCCGACTTTGATTTTATGAGAAAGTTTCGTTTGACAAAAAGGGACAATATTTACCATATTTAGGAAATGCTGACCATACAGCACAGTACATTTACATGTAGAACTAATGTACAGGATAAAGTCATTCTCCTATTGAAAAGTTTGAAAAGTGTTTTTGTGCTATTTTCCAAAATAAAAGTTCCTGGAACAGACCCAAGTTATAACAGGTTGATTCCAGCAGATACATACACATGATGCAACTTTTAATGCAAACTGCATGATCAGATGTCGTACATGTACATACCGATTTGACCCAGAAACTTTTCAACGCACCCATTGGACAGCTGTGCGTCTCAGGTCACATATGGAGTGCTGATCCTCGCAAAATTTCGTGCTAATATTTTTGATTTCTTAACTGAAATGATGCAACTTTTCAAGTGTACGTTAATCATTAATTTATCCAGTCCCCCATCTTTGTAGTACAGAAAAGCTCCAAGTCTAAAGACACCAGCATGCCAGAATCAAGTCATTTCATTTGTCCTTTCTGCTCAGGTGTGGTGAATATGGAATGTAGCTAGTTTCTGATTCAGGTGCTACCGGTAGTCCATTTGAGATAAATTTACCAGTAGTTAAGAAAACTTCCAAATTGTAAACGGTTTTAGGAGGCAAAGTCTTGGATTTCATTGGACAAATAGTTTGTCCACAACTGTTTATATTATAAGATACATTTTTGTTTTCAGTGTGGTGAAAGCTTGCTTATGATATGCATATAACTTCATAGGGATGTGAGTCCAAGTACCAGACTCTAACATGTACATTTTCCCCCTTTTCAGAAATAAAATATTTAAATTTGTATTTTTTTTTTCTCTACAGGAAAAAGGAGTCAAAGTCCCCAGGCAATGTGGCAACGGTCCTTCAGCATTCATACCAAGATCAGAGGTGAGTGTGGTGTTTGAAATTCTAGAAAAAAAAGAAAACTTCACAACCCAAAATTTAAAAACTTACAAACTTTCAGGGCTAAGATTGAATTACGTTTGGCTTACCCAAACATACCCAGTGCAAAACTTTGTTTACTTTTGTACATTACAAATTCCAGCAACTTGTCTTGCTCATTACTTCCCTCAGTAGGCAATAACTTTTCCGCCCATGTACCGAATCCATTAATGTGACAACTTTCACATTGCGTTGTCATGACACACATGCACACGCACACCTCAGTCATTCCAAACTTTTTCACTGAGTCATTTCACAACACTTCGACGAGATGTTGACACAGTGAAAGCCCTTCCTGTATTCAAGCTTGGAATTGCGTAAAATAAACGACCATTGTTAATGGGTCAGCTCATAGGATGGTCCTGATAAAACACCAGAACACCTTCCTGGATTTGTTATCTTAGTAAAGTTGTTTGTCCCAAAAGGAAAAGAACTTACCTCTCAGGGACTTTGAAAGAATTGTCTTTGATGGAAGTGATTACAAAGTTGCGGTGTTTCATTGTGTTGTAATCTACCACACAAATCTGCATGAATTTTGAACCCATTACCCTACAATGGCCAACTCTCTCCAACAAACAGCAGTTTGGGATTTTGTTGACTGGTTCAGTGTGGTGATTTTTGCAAATTAAGAGTACAACAGACAAAATCATGTTTCCTTTAAAAAGGTTGTGCATGGTTTTCACTTTATTCTTGAAAAGTGTAATTTCCACTGAGCTGAAACTTCAACAGGTTAGGTTTCTGAACATTTTTCTTTGGATTGCGAGTGGTATTATTATTAGAAACGAACAAAATGCACGAAAAGCAAAAATTGTCCTCCGTTTAAAGATTTTAACGCTCCCTTTCGAAGCCTCATTAACATTGAATCTCACAGCTCCCATTCTTGTACTAGTGACCTTTCACATCGACTTATCAGTCCACTTTTTGTTGTGGTAAATATTTAACAGGAATTAGATTCAAATCGTTAAAATCCTCTTGAGCAAATTTGAAAATACCTGGATGAGATAAAGGGTTGGGCTGAATAAGCCCTTGCACAAATACCTGTACACGTGTGGGTTGGAGACTGGCCTTATTTTGAATGAGCGTGTCCGTACATGTTTTGAAATTACAGTTCAAAGACAATAAAACCATTCGTATTGCATGCAGTTGCCCAATTTGGACGGCGTGGCACTGACAATGTGCAATCTTTTTTTATTCAATGTACACTGTAGAATCTGCTGTGCAAACTAGTTTTGGAAAGCAGAAATCAATTGAGATTAAGCAACAATCAGTATATATTTTTACATGCTGGAAATTGAAGGATTTAGTAGGATTGAGGATGGTTCCTAGCCAATTATAACATAAAATGTTCTGACAATTGAATCATTGTCCAAACTTACAGGGTTTTAAACAACCACCAACGAATCCAGTCTGTAAACTTGATTTCAAACTCCACTTCTTATCACAACACTGTAAAAAAAAAAAAATCTGTAACAGTGGCGCACCCAGGTTTTTGGTTTTGGGGGCCTTACATTTTTTTTTCACATTTTTTAGAAGTTAACAATTTTTCAAAAAAATGTTGCCCAAACTTTTGGCCCGCAGAAAAAAATTGGTTTTTTTTTTAGGGGGGACGGACTTTTTTGACGTTACACCCCTATTCTACTCGAAAATAGGCCACATACATACATGTATATCACCAAGGTCAAATCGTGGATGCATTACTGGTCTGTAGTTTCCTCTATACTGCCATCATTCGGTTTCCTGTTTTTTTCCCCAGTTTACAATACCGTATGCCAAGATTTCCCCACTGCAAGATTTTAAGTTTTCCCTCAACACAGAGGGAAAAAAAACCACAAAGGGGCAAACCTTTTCCCCACCCCCTCCGCCGTCCAATCCTTGTCCAGATCAAAACCACACTTACTTGGCATTGTTAGAATGATCTAGTTTGTTGATGATTCACCGAGCAATCCCCCCCCCCCCCCCCCCTTCAACCAACGGGTTTCCCAGCTCCATTGTTCAGCGATTACAACCAATCACTAGCGACCAACGCCGGCCGGGCACATCACGCCACACGGGTAATCATTAACATAGGTCAGAGCTGAGGGCGCACGTACTACACGTTGACAAACACACTAATATCGTCCGGGCTTTTGTTATCTGTGTTCAGATAGAAGACTTTTAAAAAAGCAATTGGTTTTTGAACTGATGTTTCAACATCACTGAGCCATTGAAATTCTTCGTGATGTCCCTGTTAGTTGCTTTTTGCTTGATGTTATCTTTCAAGTTATCGCCGCTTGCGGTTTTAAACACGTCGGTGTTGTATTTGACCTTAGTGTCATTAAACGTCCCCCCCCCCTTAAAAAAATCATTCAAAGTGCTACTTCTGGTTTTTGAAGTATTTTCAAGGATTCACGACTGAGAAAAGAAAAGTCACATTCTTCAAACGGTTACTTGTATTTTACACGTAGTCCCAATTTTGTATTTTACTGGACTGACTGTATGAATATGTGTGTTTTCAGAACAAATACATGTGTTAAAGTATTAAAGACAAATAACACAGATTTTTTGGTTTAAGAGGTGGGAAAAACTACCAGTATAATGTGAGAGTGTATTTTTTTTTCGGTCGAGTGGATGCCTTATGGTCAAGTCAAAACAGGAACCACACCGAGACACTTAACAGCCAGATTAAACTTGACCTCTCAAAAATTCCATTCGGTAGATTCCGACGTGATTTATTGCAGATGGATTGGTTGAACGATAGACTGTTACTCCTTGAGCAGTTATGTTGTAGTGTACAGTGCATCGTTGATCATAGATACAGAAATGAAACTTTCGTAAAGCTTTTTTTTCCTCCGAAAGTAGGCATTTAAACCTTTGTTCAGATCAAGTGCCATTCGTATCTCGACAGTGTGGTAATTTTCGGAATGATTTCGCAATTAATAAAAAATTTATCGAGCGCAGTCAGACTTTGTACCTGTTTGTCTCAATTTCTTGACTTCTTTGGTCAATGTTTGAAAGGATCGCCAGATTTTTTGGGGAAAAAGAAAAGGTCAAAATTGTGGGGTGATCTTGCGAGTCAGTGTTGGGGCGAAAGGCTGAATAAGGAAAAGAAGGGCAAATTAAAATTGGAAAATCAATCTTGGAATTTAAACGTCACTTTAAAATTGATTTAGTCAAGATGACAAAATTTATCACAGTTTCTGTCAGTTTTTGGGTGTTTTTTTTGTGGTGAAACAATTGAAATGTCAAAATTTATCACAGTTTCTGTCACTTTTTTTATGGTTTTTGTTTTGTGATGAAACAATTGAAGTAGCGGGTAAATGAAATGTGACGATCCTTGCACAAGAAAAAGCCTTTCAAACCTACACATTTATTTTCAAATCTTGCAAAAGGAATAATGACTAATTACACATTTGAAATTTGCAAATCGAGAAATAAAAATAAGCCAAGGTCGTGTGCATTTGTCTGTATCTTATCGGAACGAAACTGTGAAATGTTTTTCTCGATTAAAACTTTTTTTGATTTAACAGTTTTTCTTGGTTTTGGCCCCCTAAAAGTCGACTGCTGCAGTAGGCTTAGAAAATTGGTGTAAGTCTAAAAAAAAAAAAAGAAGTTCTTTCCTGTTTAAAGTCATATGAGTGGTTTTTTTTTCCGAAATAAATTATAAAGGAGTTTTACTGCTCAAATGTTGACAAATATGGTCTTGTGCTTTGTTCATTATCCTTTTATCAAAGTGATCGAATGTGCTCTTAAAATTGAACAGGATGTTGGGTGTATTCGCGTTGGGAGAGCTGGATTAATAAGGAAACCTCCATGCCTCAAACTCGGCTGTAATTTTCCATGACGTTCAACCAGGGACCGTCAGTGACCTTTGTGCTGCCGTTATTCTCAGCTGTGGATCAGGCAATGTTTGCGTTAGCACTCCGTGTGTGTGTGTTAGTCCCCATGTTTTTGTCTTTGCATAAAGGCCTACAGTATGCTGTACGTGTGCTGGTACATGTATGAATGTTCGCGGACTGGAGTCAGGCCTGATTAAGGAAAGAATATTATGTCAACTTTATTAACACTACCTGCTGAGTTTTGCTAAGAACAGTACCAAGTGTGCCAAAATCCATCACTGACTCTGCTGCACATAATGCTTCAGGACCAAATCCATCAAAATCCACCATTTCCCCATGTATTTGGTGGATTTTAATGGACTTGGTACGCATGGCTTGCCTGCCAAAATCCACCCAATTAGGGGATGGATTGTGATGGAGTCAGGATGGTTAGGGTTGATATTCTTTATTCATACTGGATTTCACTTTCGTTACCAATTATTTGGTTGTTCCTTTTTCTTGGGGAGGGGGGGGGACATTTTTGTGAATAAACTCTTTTTTGGGGGGGTACAGTACAGGAGTCGATTATATTAAGCGTGAATGAAGAGTCGGGAGAGAGTTTAATCTATTTTTAAGTATAAATTAAAAGAGTTTATTAAAATTAGGTATAAATTAAAGCAAAATGCCAAATAGTTCCTCAGCTACAGCATTTTACCACAGTGCCCTATTCATCCATAGATTAGCACGGATCTATGAAATAAAAAATTCAGCACAGCCAGACCTTCCCCCGGACCCTAGGGGGCCGAGTGTCGCTCGCGTCATCACCATTAATTAATAGATTACGCGGGACTTTGTTTCTAATCATCCCATCATGAACGCGGCTGAGTCCATCCGGTTTATTCATGGGATTTCAACGATACATCTCCACGGGAAAGAATAACACCTCTCCTTCCCCGCCTCTCTCCCCCCCCCCCCCCCCCCCCCAAGCAAAGCAAGCCCACTTAGGCACAACCGTCAAAGCGTAGCGAGAAAGAAAACACAGAGCCATGGTTTAGAATTCCCTCCCACTGACGTCGGTTTTGCAATTACGCTCCTCGGCGCACCATAGTCTCGGAACTGAAAATCCCCCATTAGACCGGCCATTATTCCCAT